GTTCATACTTGCCAAAAAATATGCTTGTTTAATTAAGTTCGAGAAAAACCATTAGATTCGACTATAAAACAGATTTTACCAATAACTACTCACCTCTTACAATGCAAATGTTTTGAACTTCTCATGCCATTTATTTAGATACACGGTTTCTTAGATGTTCTTTTTTTCGTACATAAAAAATATTTGTTAGGTTTTTTGCACGTCAAAAATGTGTTTTACTTGGTGTTTTCGAAAACAGTTTTTAAGTTTTTCAGAATCCTTGTCCCAATAAGCTTTGAAGTTTAATCATAGCTGATATTTTCTTTTTTGTCTTTGTAATTTTTTGAGTTAGAGAAAAGTGGTTTTATAGCAAAAACTTACGGAATAAAAAATACTGTCTTTTAGCTCGACCAAGTTGCTTTTCAGAGCCACGGTTTTGTGAAAATGAGCGATAAAACTCTGGTCGGTATAATTTGATTTTCCATCTCGCTTAAAATTTAAAATAACAAACATATTCAGTTGCTGTGCATACAGCACAGAATGTTCCGACCATAGACTCGAAAAAAAATAAATTTGTTTCTAAATTAGTGTCGTCTTTTCAGAGTTGTGTGACAGTAAGATTTGAATGAAAAATAGAATTGAAACATATTCGACAGTCATATTCAAATAAGTCAATTTAAAATCACTTTCTGTAGACAAATGACTAGGAAAACCGAAAAAAAAAACATTGAAGCAAAATCAAGAAAAGTTTCTATATTTTTGCAGAATTTTTTTCAACATTAGAACATTTGATTCCAAAAAGGCATCAAAAACTTCAAAAACTAAATGTTATTTTGTAAACTAAGTTTTCACGGCTTGAATTAAACCTAAATAGGCTATTGTAATCCTGCAAATTTGATCTTGAAAAATCAAAATCTTCAAAACTTCAAAACAATTTTTCTCGACACTGAGAATTTTTTTAAATTTTTTTAATGTCGCTCGAATCGCGAGTGAAATTGCTTTAAAATGATATATAACTAGACCCATTCCGAATATTTTGGTACCTGATTTTGCTCGGAAAACGAAAAAAAGAAAAAAAATGAAAAAACACTAGAACACGAATACAAACTTTCTGCGCATTATTCAAATGGTTGGAACCATTCGTATAAAAACCGGTTTGATCATTTGGTTCCAGAAAAAAAAGGTCGTGAAAGGATGATGCGAAAAATTGTAAAAGATGATTCCAGTTAACATGGGAGAGTTCGCAAGAGTTCGATGTGCACTTTTATGATTTCGACAATCATAATGAGCGACAATTGGTAAAATTTAATGATAAATTATGCATCACTTAGATTGATCTAAGTGAAGAAATATTTGATTTTTCTCTCAACTTAAATGTTTTCTAAGTTCAAATTTAAAAAAAGCAAGAAAAAACCGTTCGGCGACGCAAGGTTGAATAAAAATGAGTAGACAATCAATACCTCCCCGCCTTTCTTATTTCCCCTGTCCTAAACGACAACGTCAGAAAAAAAAACTATTTTTTGGAAAACCCTGTCAGTAAAACCATGGAAGTTTTGTCAAAAAAGACATTATCCTTGCATTGGAAAAATTATACGTCCGTTACAAATTGGACGCTGTTTCGGCTACTGCAAGAATGTACCATAGTTTAAGATACACGATAATGGGTCTTGAAACTAAACGATTTCTAGAATCTTGAAACAAAACAATCTAGAAAAGCCAGAACGAATCTGTTTTAAATTTCTATGGAACTTAACAGTTGAGCTAGTCAAAAAATCATCTGAAAAAGTCGATTGAAAGTCATTTTACTATTTGAAGTTTTATAGACAGGACTTACAAATAAGTTGTTGCCGCCAAAGGTGCCTCTGCAACTTTTGTTTCGATCCACCAACAATCATATTACATACCATTTCATTCCAACAGTGAAACTTCGGAAGAAAAGATTTAAAATCCTGAAGCCCCTTGCAAAAATGTTTGATGGGTTTTCTCGTTTCCAGCACAAAAACACCACTAACAACCAAATCAATCTTTCATGTATACATTTTTATATGAAAAATGTCAAGATTTAAAAAATTTATAACTAGCATCTGATTCCAATATAACAATCTATCCAACCGGGTCAATTGAAATTTATTTATACGCTATTCGTTTGCTGAATACGGACTAGCAATCATCGCAATTAAACCAGGGGCTTAATTATTTTGTGAAGGCATGCTAAAGCGGACACTCCCTTCCTCCTTCACTTCAAGGACTCGACCCCCAGTCCACTCCTATAATTTCTACTTTTTTGTCACATATTTTTGTCGATCAACCATAAATTTTTATAAGAAGCGTCTTTGGCGCAAAAATATTGTAACTTGAGGACAAATAAACGCCAAAAAATATATTTTAGTTAACAATTTTTTGTCAAACCCTCCAAATAGTCCATTCTACCTTATACACATATTTTTGATAAAAAGGTCACTCAGAGTTTAAAGAGCGCTCGGGAAAACAAGTTTGTCTACCTAATTTATAAATCGACGAAATTTTTATGACACTGTTTTAGGATGGCAAAGCAATGAAATCTCAAGTTATCTTAAAAGAGATATCTCAAAGTACCTTTTATCTCAAGTGCATCTCAAAATTTCAATAAAGTAACAAAGCATTCTTAAACTTTATTTCTGGAAGTAGCGGAGAAAGTTCTAGCCTAAATTATATTTTTTAAAAACATGGAGAAAAATTTTTGAGAAAACATCAAAAACAAGTTCTTATTGGCACAAGGAAAAAAATTTTTGAAACTTTTTATTGCTGTTTTAATCACGACGAAAGAGCTTCAGTATAATAATTGATTCGACTGTTAATGATTGGTCTTTCAGGTATCTAGATTTTCGAGAAAAACAACCAAATACAAAGTTCTTAAGACTTTTATGTGATGGGAGCACAGAAGTTTAATTTTGATTTTAGTTTCTGCTTTCCGTTGCGATTGTCAATTTTTGAAGTTCTTCATCACTGTTTTTTTTGAAAAAGTGTTTTTTAAGAGATCAAAACCTGTAATGTACAGAACCGTCTCCTCTTTATGCCATGAGAAAACTTACACTTTTCGCTATTTTCTACTAGCTCTATAATTAAAACTTAATTTTTCTACTAGTTTCTGTTTTTTACACGAACCTAAGAAAGACATTTTTCATAACTGTTTTTTAACTGGTTATGGAAAAAAATCAGGATCCAACATTTTAAGTTAAAATTCTGTACAATTTTTTAAGCGTATTTTAGATCACGAATATAGAGTTGCGGACTTGGGAATCGGTTCTTTTTAGCACATTAAATTCAAAACCATCTCTCAAATGACGGGGGTTATAAAATGCGCACCCTTTTAAGTTCACAACCTCCAGAAGTTAAATGATAACACCTAAAAACAATAAAATAAACTCAAAAGCATACGGAGTAAATGAATAGACGAATTGAAAGAGATTAGGTTAACTTTTGACCTTTATCAACAGCATGAAACGTTATTTTAGCCATTGAAAACTCCCTAAAAATGAATTATCGTTTTCTCAGATTTAAACTAATAAAATTTTCATCATTTTCAGCTAGTAAAGCATAATAAGACTGCTCGTATCAGGGCAAAGCCCTGAATGTTCCGATCGCCCTATAAGGTCTATTGAGCAGTCTTTGCTGTAAAACATTGATGAATTTATCCAAAAAATGAAAAATAAATTGTAAAGATTTTGAGAGATGTTGATATTATTTAAATCAACCCTTATAAGCCATATAAAATAAGAATTGATAGATTCCATTTCTAGTATCAGCATTATTGACAAATACCTTGCTTCAATTAATTTGGAATGATTTCTAAGGCGGATGAAATCTCCCCTTACGCGTTAATAGCACGAAATATATCGCGCATTAAAGCTCCAAAAATGGCAAATTTTAAAACCAATAATACTTGAGAAATACTTTTTCAAAAATTTTAGCTCAGAAAAAGAACACTTTTTGATTAGTAAGAAAAAAAACTCGCCAACAATTTCTCCTGAAAATTTCGGAATTTGTCTCCCAGAACATACAACCTAGATCACAAATATTCTATCACTTTCTTCAAAAGTCCGAACAAAGTTTTTTTGTGGATGACAAGGAGACGGAACTGATATAGAGGTTTGTTATAATTTTCAAATGCTATTTAGAGGCTCTTAATTTACAAAAATGATGTTTTTGTTTTACTCTTTTAATGAATGCATTTTGGCGAGTAATTGAACAAATTAAGCAAAAACAAAAAATTTATTTTTAACTTTCTTGCCCTCAAATCGAACCAATTAAAACTAGCTGCTGAAAAAAAACTTGATTCAATATTCGTCAAAACTTTTCTCTGTTTGGTTGTCTTGTTTTTGTATGTTTTTGTATTGTTTGCGATACTGTTTCTCATAATTGCCTATTAAATTCACTGTCTGGATCAGAACCGCCTCCTTCAATCAACAATTTATCAAGATCAGTTTTTTGATAACTGTCAAACCATCAATATTGGAACTAAGCATAAGCCATATTTTAAATAAATTTATAACATCAGTTTGATCAAATGAATGAATCTTTATTTAGTTTTAACACGGAGCCGAATACCCGGATAGCCGGAAAACCAATTCGTTCCCGGATAGCCGAAAAATAAATTCGCTCCCGGATAGCCGAAAATATTGTTTGTTCCCGGAATGCTGAAAACTTTTTTTGCCCGATAGCCAAGCAGTCGGAATTAATTTAAAGCTATTACGTATAGAAATTTTTTTTTAGTCATTTAGTTTTTGTTAGCTAAGTTCGGAAAAAAATAAGTTCCGAAAAAAACCCTTCGAATCAAACTAGAGCAAGTTTTGGGACGAACTTGCATTTTTAGTCAAATTTTTTTGTTTTCTGTTAATTACCTCATCAAAAACTTTTTTGTCTTTCCCGTAATGTGGCTCTGTGAATACGCATCATTTTGGCTAGTATTGGGACTAAAGTTTATAAAAAAAATTGACGAGATAAGTATTTGAACGTTTACATTATTGATTCGGCTTACTAACCAACTTGGCAAAACTCGCCCAAATAGCCCACATTACATTCACACTTCTTCACGTAATCATCAATTGCAACACACACTCCCCTGTAACTGCAGTAGTTCTTAGCCGACTTCTCACAAGCATCGCCAATCTTGGTGTACACTCCGAAGCCCTTCGACACTAACTTGGGTCGTCTAATTGCACCGTCGAAGCTAGATGTCAGAAAGTTCCGAATGGTTCCTGAGAAGTTGGGCAGTGTTGATATAAACTGTAATAGTATTGCCATATACTTTGCAACCCAATAAAGCTATAATACTGATGAAAACATACTTTTAGGTTGATAGATTAATTTACGATAATTCAAATGGACTATATTGGACAGTTTCTTTCAGAAGCCCTTGTTTTCTTAAGTCATATGAAAACATCATAATATTAGTCAAACACTATATGACATAGTTTTTTGACCCTTCTGTTTTAAAAAAAAAACTGTTTTCTTGTTTGCTTCCCAGTTTTGAACGTTTCATAAAATTGTCGTTTCTGATATTCTCATGGTTATGACTTATTTCATAGGTCTTAAGAAGCATATGTACCAAGTTTGAAGCCTTTGGACAAACAGAATAATTATGCTCCCACCCATTTGTGTTTCAATGTCTGAAACTGACGAAAAACTCAAATCAAATACTTAACCCGAAACCATTGCTTTAAAATTTAGTTTTTTTTTCATAGAAAATTATGGGCTGTAAAGTAGATTCCTGGTAAGAAGTGAAGAAACCGGGCTCCTTTTGGCTCCTAGGGACCCCGCCCAGGAAATTTGGACTGGAAAAATTCAGAAACGCCAGTTGATTGTTGTGCAAATTTAGCTGAAACGATTGGTCGTCGCAACTGAATATCGTTGAGCCGAAATTGCGTTTGATTTTAATCTGAAACAAAACTAAGGGTTAGTTCTTAAAATAAAATTGTTAACTCAGCAAAAAACAGTTAATTTTCAATTTTTTGTTGTAAAGTTTGGCCCTTTTTTCAAATTATCTTGAAAACCATAGATCCAAAATTTAAAATATATCATGAAAAAACTTCGTGAGATACCTTTTAAAATTCATTCTACTTCCCTGCCACTCAAAAATATTTTGAGATAGCAAAAGTTAGTTTTTTTCCTGAAAGGTTATTGTTTTCTTCTTTCTGATGTAATATCCTTTTGTGATCTCGCTCAGCTCACATACAAATGAAATACAAATAAAAATGCCCTAGATTGCGGCATCAAAACCAACAAAAAGACTGCTCGTCCTGTGAAGTCCTGAATGTTTCGACTGCCTTTAAAGTCTATGGAGCAGTAATAACATGAAAAAATTTAATGTTATTTAGAAAAAGATTATTTGAGATTTTTTTTGAGATTATTTTTGAGGTTTATGGCGTGTGGATCCCCCCAAACGCCAAAAAAAATTCAAAGTGATAAATTTTGCTCCTAGTAACAAATCAATCATGGCAAATAAACTTCATTCAACCAATTTGGAACGATTTCTAAGACGGATTAAATCTCCGCTCACGCGTTAATAGTTTACGAAAAAGGATCACAGGTGAAATATGTGTTCAAATTTAGGCTCAAGACAATAATACTTTTTGAATGATATAAAAAAAATTTCCGTCAAAAATGGCTAGTTAAAAAGTCAAAATTTGTCTGAAGAAAAAACCCACCCGGGCACAAATATTCCGTTACTTTCGTTACGAAAAACGGAATAATAACTCGCATAAACTCGATTATTTGCCAATTTAATTTTTGAAGTGAAACAATTTTTTGTTTTGCCAAAACGGAATTTGAAATAATTTCTCGTCCATAGACATTTTTGAACAGAAACGGTACATCAACGGCTTTGACAAATCAACATGCTGTAGCAGAGACTGATTCAGCATTAGATGACAACTACTTTCAAAGAAGGTCACACAAAGTTAATTGTTTCATTATTAGATATTATTAAAATTCATGAATTAAGTTAAGGAAGAAATTAATGGACTCAAGAAAATTTTAGGGAACTCAAAACCGAACCCTGGGGCCATAACGAACATTCACTGCCACTAACACTTTGTTTGCGTCTGTCTAATTAGCAAATTTTAGCGAAATCGAGGACGGGCGCAAGCTTTTTTGCAGACCGGAATTTTTCATATTCGATTTTTTTAACAACGACGCAGATCGTGTAACAATGTTTTTGTCACAATATGTTGTTGTGTTTCGAGATAAATAAGAAAAAGAAGAACAAAACCGCTCTTATCAGGGCGAAGCCCTGAATGTTACGACTGCTTTTTAAGGTCTATGGAGCAGTAAAAACAGAAAATGGAAAAAAAAACACATATGGCGAATAAGCTTCTTTCAACCAATTTGAAACAATTTTTATGACGGATTAAATCTCCGCTTACGCTTTATTAGCGCAAAGTAAATTGCGCGTTAATTGACCCAATCGGTCAAAATGGTACCTTTTAAACCCCCATAATTTCACAAAAAAATGACCACAGGTGAAATATTTTGTCAAATTCAAGCTCAAAACAACAAAACTTTTTCAATAATATAAAACATTTTCGTCAAAAATGGCTAGATAAAAAGTCTAATTTTGTCTGAAGAAACAAAACAACCACTAGCACAAATATTCCGTTACTTCCGTTACGAAGGTCGGAACTTTAAGAAAAAATAAATTTTTATAAAAAGTGCTACAGCTTTTACTAACAGTTAAATTTATTAACAAAAAACTGATGGCACTTAAAAACTTCTAATGAATGCGCACATCGAACTTCTTCTGGAATTTTATTCCAAACGGCAGCAGCAGAAAAAAAATTAGTTAGAAATCTTTCGTTCTTCCTCAAACTTGAAGTGATGCAGCTCTGAAACTTCGCCTGTTTTAAGTGAAAAACACAACTATTTCAACAAATCGTCTGCCAAAGAAGGATAGACCGCTTTGATAGTTTTCAAGTCAATATAGACATCTGTCGCTCTTGAGATTTTTACAACCAGTATATCTAATTCATAATAATCAATTTGAGGATTTTGCAGAAAGCTTTACTTGCGACGACTGGATATTTAAAAGGCAGATTGCAACAAAAACAACCGATATGTTCTATTAAAAGTAGCATGCAAAGTCTTCGGCTAAATTTTCAGGGTTTGACATGGGCATAACGCTTCTATGTTTTATCTTGGTCTCATGTTTTTTTGACTAGTACAACGGTTTTCATCTGCAGTTCTGCTTTTCTTTGTAGAAAAGAACACAGGCAGTGATCATTAAGCAAAAAAAATGCGACAATATTGGTTATCCTCACACCTGCCGAAAACGGACTTTGATGAATGTATGTCCACAGCAATGAGTGGGCAAATACACCATCTTTTCAACTCATGCCTTGAACTAGGCATCATTGGTTCGAATCAAGAATGATAATAAGTTACTGGATTGAGAATTCCGAAAACAAAGCCGCGAAAGATGCCGACGGTGTTCGATAAAAGAAGAAAATAATAATCGGATCTCTGCCTGCCATAAAATTCAGTAAGAAAACTTGTAGACTGTCTTTTTCGAAACTCTCGATGTTGGTTACTTGTTATTTCGGGTTCAAAAACTAGATGTAACCCACCTCCTCTTTTTTTATTTCTATTAGCACTGATAAATCTAAACCCTGTTGTGTTAGAGCTAACTAGAACGAATCCATCAGTCTCCTCATCTATAAACCTTTACTCGATGAGAAAAATTAAGGTCTATTGATTTAATGAGAGTCTGTACTTGTAAAGTTTTTTCGGAGAGATCTGACGTTCAACAGACAACATTTGACATATAGCGTTATTCCGCTTTAACTTAACCTTTCTTCAATGTTTTCAACCACATTTTTGCATCTTCTTTGAGTCTGAACTGTCGGTACACAACTCTATTCTTAGAGTCTTTGGGAGAAAAAAAAACAGTGAAACCAGTTAGCTCTTGAGTTTTCCTATGATACCATTGGAACTGCTATAGGATTCACTCCCTCATTTTTGCAATGGTCAATCACTACTTGTCATTTTACTTCAGTGTTACATTTACCGATTGTAGTAGACTAATTTTGTGGTGGTGCTAACTAGAACGAGTTCATCAATCTCCTCATCTATAATCCTTTACTCGATGAGAAAAAATTTAAAGTCCACTGATTTAATGAGACTCCGTACTTGCGAAAATTTTTTTCGGAGAGATCTGACATTCAACAGACACATATTTGTCTTATTGCGTTATTCCCTTTTTACCTAATCTGTCTTCAAAGTTTTCAACCACGTTTTTGCATCTTCAATGAATCTGATCTGTCGGTACACAATTCGTATCCTTAGAGTAATCGGGTATAAGACAGTGAAACGAGTTAACTCTTGAGTTTTCCTATGATACCATTGGAACTGCTATGGGATTCACTCCCCCATTTTGCAATTTCAATCACTACCTGACAATTTATTTCAGTGTTACATTTATCGGCTGTGGTAGAATACTTTTGTGGTAGAGCTAACTTAAACGAATTCATCAATCTCCTCATCTATAAACCTTTACTCGATGAGAAAAAAATTAAGGTCTATTGATTTAATGAGACTCTGTAGTTGCAAAATTTTTTTCGGAGAGATCTGACATTCAACAGACAACAGTTGACATATTGCGTTGTTCCGCTTTTAGTTAATTTTTCTTCAAAGTTTTCAACCACGCTTCTGCATCTTCATTGAGTCTTAACTATCCGTATACAACTCGTATCTTTAGAGTCTTCGAGAAAAAGACAGTGAAGGAGTTAGCTGTGGAGTTTTCCTATAATACCATTGAAACTGCTATGTGATTCACTCCTCCGTTTTTGCAATGTCAATCACTACTTGACAATTTATTTCAGTGTTACATTTACCGACTGTGGTAGAATACTTTTGTGGTAGAGCTAACTAGAACAAATTCATCAATCTCCTCATCTATAATCCTTTACTCGATGGGAAAAAAATTAAGGTCTAATGATTTAATGAGACTCTGTAGTTGCAAAATTTTTTTCTGAGAGATCTGACATTCAACAGACAACAGTTGATATATTGTGTTCTTCCGCTTTTAGTTAATTTTTGTTCAAGGTTTTCAACCACGCTTCTGCATCTTCATTGAGTCTGAACTGTCGGTATACAACTCTGTCCTTAGAAACTTCGGGAAAAAGACAGTGAAAAGTGTTAGCTCAGAAGTTTTCCTATGATACCATTAAAACTGCAATGGGATTGACTCCCTCATTTTTGCAATGGTCAATCACTACTGACAATTTACTTCAGTGTTACATTTACCGACT